TTAATGAGTTTAATGAGACTTACAGTTTAACTGTGTATGATTATTTGGTAGTAACTTAATAATATGAAATTTGATTTATTCAGTAAGTTTTTAGAGTAGACTTTATGTAGAACGTCAAGTTTTTTACCTTATTCTTTCAAATTAAAGAACACGTTTCTTTCATTTATGAAAAGCTTTCTAAAACAAAAACACTCTCTCTCTCTCTCTCTCTCTCTCTCTATATATATATATATATTGTTTTATTCTTTATTAAACATACAAAATAGAAACATATATATTTAATTTGTTAGGCCAAATCAATATCATGATTTTATTTGTAATGACAGGTGATAAATAAACCAATAATTTGATTTTTGAAAAAGAAAAAGTAGGTACGGAAAACATGTACTTTAATTCAATTATCGTTTGATATAATTAGTTTCACACACGCACACACGTACACACATACACACGCCTCTCTCTATATATATACATATATGGGTATATTTAAGAGACAACTCATTAGTTTGTGTTAATTGTGAGATTCAATTCTAATCACAAAATCAATGGATAAATTAGGTTATTAATAATTTTGGTAATTTGAGTTAAAATTATAATTATAGGGCATTTTAGGTATTTTGAGAAACCACTCTCTCCGACCTCGGATCTCCGGTGAACATTATTCTAGTCGGTACCAACTAATCACAAAGATACACAATGTGATACCCATTTGATATCACTATGATACCAACCCAAACCTTTAAAACAAAATCAAATCCATAATATAAATTTAAGAGATACATACAAATGATCCACGTTGTGATACCCAAAATACATACAAGAGGTATTGTGATACCCAATGTAGTACCAATTAGGGTACCACTATGATACCACTCACACCAACTATATTATCAGTGTGATACTAAACCTTAATACACAAAATCTTCAATTTCTAGCCAACGATTTTACCAAAAAGAAACGTCGCATACATTCAATATCAGTAATTTTCTTTCATGTATATTCTTCAATTTTTTCGATTTTTCATATATGTATTTTCGGAAATTTTCTTCGATACAAATCTTCGATATCTGGATGTTCTCATATCTAATCTCGATGGAGATTGAGAGATGCAGACCTTTGATATTTGGATGTTTTTGGATCTGATTCGATGGAAATGGAGATCTAGATTCGTTCAAGATATCGATCGGATGTGGGCTCCTTCTTGGAAATGAAACAATTTTCAATATCAAATCGTTAAATTAAGAAAGAGAAAACATATTTTCAACATCAAAATCAAAGAAACATTTCTGCAAATCTAAATCTAAAATTAAAATAAATGAATAATTCATACGAAAATGGACATAATTAAGTTACGAAGTTATCGGACCTGAAGACGGAACTGGACTCGATTGACTAAATGCAAGCGGAGGAGTCGGCATAGCTGCAGCAGGAGGAATGACTATAGACACTGGAAGAGGAGCAGCGGCAACGGCAACGGCGATGATGGATCAGTAAGCAACAAAGATGGTGGTGGTGGTGGTGGTGCGTCGGAACTGAAGGTAGGATCGGATGGAGTAGATACAATACGAACGTGACAAAGGGGAAAGGAAATTGTAACGGTGGCGGAGGAGAGTAATCAGGAAGTGAGCAATATTCTCCGACCCATTTATGAGATTTTGGATAAATGTTGCGGCAGAAAAGGCCGAATCCAACGACAAGACCAGTAACAACAATGGCGATGATTATGAAGATACCAGTTTCACATATAGGGTTGTATGAGTTGTCAACATTACCAATTTACATTTTATTTTATTTTAGAAAATAACATTAATTATTTAAATGATTGATTCAAATTTGGATCTCACGATTACCACAAACAAAACAATTTTCATTTGATTAGGTCACACACACACACACACACACACACATATATATATATATATATATATATAGAGAGAGAGAGAGAGAGAGAGAGAGAGTTTGTTTCAAATACAATCTATCGCATTTGTACAACCAATGCAACCCAATAAATTGAGATATTTATGGAAATGATGAGAGTTCATTTATTATGATTTGAATATTTATGAAAGATGAATATGGTTCATTAATTATGATCAATACTTTATATTAAGAAATAATCAAAACTTCTACGATATCACATATTAATCAAATGAAATGGACGGTTGAGATTGAGTTGTATTAGTTACACAAATGCCAAGGGTTGTATAATAACCAACCTATATATATATATATATATATTCAAATCATAATAAATGCTAAGGGTTGTATATATATATATATATATAGGGTATATTTCTTTTACAACCTTGTGCATTTGTACAACCTTTGCAACCCAATTAATTGAGATATTTATAGAAATGATTGGAGTTCATTTATTATGATTTGAATATTCATGTAATATGAATATAGTTTATTAATTATGATTAATACTTTATATTAGGAAACAATTAATTGATTAAAAATTGAATGGTTGAGATGAGGGTTGTATAGGGTGTAGGAATGGCATAGGGTGTAGAATAACATCCCTATATATATATATATATATATATATATATATATATATATATATAGAGAGAGAGAGAGAGAGAGAGTTTGGTTCAAATATAACCCATCGTATTTGTACAACCAATATAATCACTATATTGAGATATTTATAGAAATGATGAGAGTTCATTTATTATGATTTGAATATTTATGAAAGATAAATATGGTTCATTAATTATGATCGATACTTTATATTAGGAAACAATAAAAACTCATATGAAATCACATATTAATCAAATGAAATGAACGGTTGAGATTAAATTGTATTGATTGCACAAATGACAAGGGTTATATAATATATATATATATATATATTACAGCATATAATCATTAATACTCATTAAAGATATTGATGATAGTCTGGCAAATTCTTTTAATTTTGTTTTATACGATAATATTTTATATTTCTAAAATATATAATTAATAATCGAATAGTAGGTTTAATTAGGTATGAAATAAAATTTTATAATCTCTTAAGTCAAACAAATAATATTATAATTTACAAAAAAATGAATTAGATTAAAGTTTTATATGGTTGTTTTTTAAATTAAATATGATCCCTTAAACATATTATCTATACCGAAGGTTCCTAACTTTTTATTTCTATTACATCGGTGATCGTTCAAATTAACGTCATTAACTTGAGGTCCGTTAGTCACTCCATTTTGCTCTCAGCTAAGGGGTAGTTTCGTCAATATTTAATTTGATAAATGTTCATCGTTCTTATCTTTATTCTTATCTTATTCCTCTGTCTTTTCCCTCGATCTAGGATACAACCTTTAATCAATCCAAAGAAATTCTAAATCTAAAATAAATTGATGGTTGTGGTCCTAGCATCATTGATAGCAAACTCGGATATGAGAAGATGGTAGATGGGCAACACCAGAGAAGGAGGCGAAGTTGATGTTGGACGATCTAGAGACAAAAAGGGGGATGTTGTCGTGCATGTGGATCGAGAGGAAACTTCATCTTGATTTAGTGGGTTTTCACTACCAGTGTTGATCTGTAGAAGAGGTGGGGAACCGTGTTTGGAAAAAGAGAAACAACAACCACTTCTCGATCAAAATCGGTCAAAAACAACAAGGTTTGAGATCATTTCAACACCACCATCAAAAGTCCTTCGCTCGCTCAAAATCGATCCAGAACAACTGTCCCACCTCTAATCCTTAAATAGCAGGCTCCACGATTCGCATAAGCCTATTTCCAACCCAATAACCATGCATAAATATGGGGAATTTTCCTCTAGAATTGATAAATCACATAGAAGAAAGGAGAGAAAGAGAGAGAGAGGGGGGGGGGGGGGCAACCCCTCTTCAAACGGCTACAATACCTAAGGAAAAGATGAATTCAGAAGAAATTAGCTCATATTTCGATCCCTAAAACCGCAGAAGCATCTTAGTCGGGTTCATTTGAATTTGAGTAGGTTCAGGTTTTGAATCAAAGGAAGGTAAGTAGATCTTTACAAAATTGGGGGAGGATCGGTTTTGTTTTGGGATTTTGGAGTAGGTCATTCACGTACGACCAAGAGACGTAGAACGACAATGAAAAGGTCTCATACGGTTGTTGGGTTTAGTTCATGACAAGGGTTTGATTAGGGTTTGGATTTACCGGAAAGATGACCGGAGGGGGAGGGGTGGTTAGGAGCGTGTGATCGACAATGAAGGAAGAAGACAAGTGGGATGAGTGTGAAGGTATCTCTATTATCGACATAAAAGACAAAAAGCTTTAATAAAATAAAAAATAAAAAGACAAAAAATTGAAAAGACCAAAATACTCTTGGAACTAACAAATTTTTTTTTTTAACGAGAGTTAGTATGAGGAAGGAAAAGTAAAGCAAAATGGCAACTATAGTGATTAAAATTTTAATTACTTCAAAAAAGGGACCAAAGTCAATAATGGGTGGCAATCATTGGAACAAAAGTGTGATTTAGAGGTTGTTAGTTTACTATTTTATAGTTTTATTAAGATGTAGTTTTTAAATTTTTAACAGGTGAATCTTGTTTGGCAAAAAAAAATTATGTCTCATAATTGTTCTAAAATCATTTGAATGATTTTGCATCATGGTTCTTCTTTAACCATTCAACGCTTTAATTTTATCGTAAACGATTACCAAACAATTATATTTTATTTTGCACTATATTACGAGAGTGTTTTATATAATGTGATTAATGCATTTAAATCACCGCGTCCAAATTAAAACTAAATTCCGTGTAATTCGCTTTAAAAATAAAACATGAGGGTGAAATGGTCAATGATGGGCAGTTTCGTCATTTCCTACGTCGTGTTCCTACGTAATCAAACATAACTCAACACATATACCGTTGACTTAGATTAAAATGCAAAAGTCTTGTCGGATCTTCAAAAAGATTCCAATTTTCTCCTTTAAATTATCTACAATTCTCAAAATAACTTCGATTTAAACCATTTTGACGATAAAACCCCCCACCGGAAAACCGATGGGTTGTCTGTTTAGTAAACATTCCGGCCACCCACGCTGGTGGTCGTCGTGTTCATCAAAATTTAAGTTGAACCCGGATCTAACCTCTTACCAAGATGCTTGCCGATCGGATCCGGATCTCAAATCTTTCGATTCGACCCAACGAGATCGAACTACTCGGGTCATCAAATCTGTCGCCGCCGACGTTCAGGTTCGTTCCCTTTCTCTTGACTCCCTCCGTCAAGTCATCGGAAGTCTGCATGATATGAATCAAGACGTTGTCAAATTCTTACTCGAATGCGAAGAAGACATTTCTAAAAGCCACGAACTGTCCTCGTTAGTTAAAGATTTCTTTCGTCTTAGCATCTTAATCCTTGATTTCTGCATATCGCTCGAGAATTGCTTGAAAAACGCTAGTTATAGCTCATCGTTTCTTCAGATTGCGATCAAGCAATTCGATGAAGATAACGATCACTTGAAAACCCTTGAGCATTTCAAACAATTCAAAGCTTTAGAAGCTCCATTCCCAGTGGAGTTTTTCAGAAAATATGAATCGGTTTGTGAACAACAACAATCGATGCAAAAGAAATTGGAAAAACAAACGGGTAAAGTAGCCAAGAAGTTGAAATCAGCAAAGGTGTGGAGGAAATTGACCAACGTGATATTCGTCGTCACTTTCAGTGCCGTCTTGATCTGCACAGTGGTGACTGCCGCCGTGTCAGCTCCAGCGGTGGTTATAGCATTAGCAGCGGCGGCGGCAGCGGCAGTAGGACCGATGGGGAAATGGGTTGATTCGTTATGGAAGGAATACGAAACGGAATTGAAAGGGCAAAGGAAGGTGATGATATCAATGGACACCGGGAACGATGTTGTTATCGCAGAGTTGAAAAACATCAAGGCTTTAGTGGATAAATTTGGGAATGAGAGAGAGGATTTGCTGCAAAAGGCAGAATTTGCGATCAAGGAAGAGGAAAAAGATGCGGAGGCGGTGGCAGTTGCAGATGCAGTTGCAGCGGCGGTGAATGAAATGAGAAGAATTATGAGTGATTTTGAGAAGACGATTGCTGATTTGAGTCGTCATTCTCTTAAAATTCGAGGGGATATAGTTAGAGCAAGAGACATGATCGTGAAGGAGGTTACTCAAGGGTTGCATTCCGGCGACAGGCGAGAATAAGAGTTAGATGAGAAATGTAAAAGGGATCTTCACCATTCGATGCACGTTAGCATGAGATGCATCTCATATCAAACGTGATTCATGAGTGGGTTTGAGATTACAAGTGATCAAAGTTGATCAATTTTTACGATTTTCACATTAACTTTCTTTCTCACACGATCATTCGTCATGACTCACATTAGCTATGTGCGTGTGTATGAGAAAGAGATGTAAGGTGAGAAACATAAAAAGAGATCTGGACTCTTGATTAACTTTAATCTCAAATTCACTCATGAATCGCGCTTGATACGGGGATTGATCCAATGCATCTCGGTACATCGCATCCTAATGTTCATCCAATGGTGGAGATCCCTTCTTAAGCTTCTCATTTTAACACTTCTTATCAGAACCAACCCTCTATATATATATATATATATATATATAGAGAGAGAGAGAGAGAGAGAGGGACGTTCAAGAGAAACTCTAAAAAAATAGAACACTGAGAATTCCAGACGCTATACACATATGCATACACGTAATAGAAGTTCTTTCTTGCTTCTTATGTACCTGTATATGTGTATGCAAACAAATTGATTACAAATTACTTGTATTCACATGTGTATACCGTACAAATGAACAACTACCAAGTTGCCCATTTTTTTTTTCATTTTTTACGCTTTTCACATGAACATGAGCCTATATATATGTGTGTGTGTGTGTGTATATATATATATATATATATATATATATAGCGGAAGTTTGAACATCTTTATTTTGCGAAAACATGTAAAGCACCTTTTTTCACATAGTAGTGTGTGGATGACTTAGCTTGCGACCTAGATCATCCCAAGGGTCGTTCTTCTCTTTGATTTAGTATCACATGTTATTGTCTATAGTAAAAATGTGTCTTCATTTTTTTTTGAATTAAGGCGTTTTCGTTTGAACTCTTGTCATATATAACTATTGTAAGCTACTATGGTTCAATATTTTCGTTTCTTGTTGTTCTGAATTCACCAAAGAAATGTTTGATTTATCCATTATCTTTTGATGAATTAGGTTCATGCTCTTGTCTTTTTCAAACTACTTGGGTTGTAGCGGCACTAACATATGAGTCATTTCTAAAATAATCAGATACATGAAGACTCAAAATATATTATCAGTATTTAGAACTCACTGGATAAATGATTACAAGCTTACATCTTCAAATACATAACGTTTCACCCTCCTAGCATCCGCGTGAAATCGTGCAAATTTCAAGCTTGCAAATGGCACAATCTTCACAAACTCAAGATATAAATTATATCTGTCTTTTTTTTCTTATTTGATCACAGCATCATGAACCACCTTCATATGTGTTTAGACAAGTGGGATATGATCAAACTATCACATCATAGTAAAAATGTCCAGAATACGATACAAACAACATGTTTATGTCGTTTTGCTTGCTTCGACTCTCGTACACATTCAACAAGGCCTAGTTTTTCCTTACGTACTCAGAGTTTACTGTTTTGACTGTTGTATCGACATGTGTGCTTATCTCTCTTGTTCTTCAATTAAAACTCGTCTTTCAAGCACTTAAAATAACCTTATAAAAATCAAAAAACGAGTTCACAAAAAAATGGAAAACGCCGTTGCCGGGGATCGAACCCGGGTCACCCGCGTGACAGGCGGGAATACTTACCACTATACTACAACGACTTATTTGATTCTATTTATTTTATATTATTTAAATATTAATTATTAATTTATAAACAATATCGAATATATAGAAGCTGAAGTGGTCAAATTGGTCAATTGTCACGATTCCTTTCACATTCCAAATTCCAAAACACGGCGATGGTGCATGTGAACAAGAGAATGTAAAGAATAATATTAAATCAATTTTCCACAATTAAAAAACAAAAAACAAAATGAAAAAAACATATTTTATTAGAATTTTAATAGAATTCACGACTTATTCGATTGGTTAGATATGATTGTTTGGTAGACAGTAATGACTTAATGATATAGAATTTTGACTTAATCAATAAGTTCTTAGAAAAAGTTTATGTAAAAAATCAAATTTATCGAAAAATCAAGTAAACAACACATGTAATGAGTTTTGAATTATTTGATTGTTTATTTATTTTAATTAAGTTTCTAAATACTATTTATTTGATTTATTAACAATAAAATATAAGTATCCACACTAGTGGAACTTTTTAAAACTCATTTTCCATCTGTTTTTCTTGCTACATCAGTATTACCTCAATTAAATAACATCTTAATAAAGGTTTTATAAAAATCCCACTTTTTATTTTTCAATAAAATGTAAGTTTATTTATAAATTATTATATAAATTTATAAGATACGAAAAAAATCAAACAAAATTAATAAATATTTAATTAATTTTAACTTGTATTTTTATAGATTTGTACATAATAAAATGCTTAAAAAATAATAGAAAAAAGTAATGTTATAAGAACATAGGATTTTGTTCAAATATATGTGTTTTTATAAAAACTTGTAATTAAGTAAAAACTTCTATCCCACAGTATATATTTTTTTAGAAACTTTAACATGAACCTCAATAAAAGCCTTCATTTTACGGATGCTCTTAACTTGTTTATATAAAAAAAGTTAAAATTATATTGTTTAATTATAATTAATTAATATAAGCGATTTAAATAATAATGTTGAAATGGTCATGTTTCAAACCAAAGAACCTTCCATACCAAACATTTTGGTGCTAAAATATTGACTTCCATTGATTTTACAGATTTATAAGAAACAATTCTAATTATTTGTGTTTTAAAAAATCAAGATGTTTAATTTGATATATAATTTAATTAAATTGTTTTATTCTTTATTAAACATACAAAATAAAACCGGATAAACTACGATCTTAGTCCTTTTGGTTTGAGAAAGATTGCAATTTTTGTTCTTATGGTTTTGAAATTACGATTTTCACCCCTACAGGTTGTTTTAGTCTTTTGATTTATTTTTCCTTTTTATTTTATTAAACATATTTGTTGGTTCTTTTTTGAATTTTAATTTTTCATAAAACTATATAACTTTTTATTAAAAAAATATATTAATAATTAAATATGTTGAAAACAATTAGTTTTTATAAATGTTTTTGATCATTATAATTTTAGTTTTTATGAGTGCGATTTCTGTAGTGAGCATTGTTCAAGGCAAACTCTTGAGCACTCCTCACATAAAAGTTTTAAATAGGTACAAATAATTTACTATTTTTACCAGACAACTGTATGTAATATTATTAATAAAATGTATAGTTTTCGGTTTCATAAGTCATTGAGTTATACAGAAAAAATGAACGTCTCATGTAAATATGTTACAATAAGTATAAAATATTTTGGATGTCTTTTAGAATAGAATGTCCAATTAACTTTTTTATATGGCATTTTTTTAAATATAGATCCCAAAAGACAAATCAACGGCTCGCACTTGAATGACGTTAATTGCAGAAATCGAACGAATAAGAAAGTAAAATTATAATGACGAAATATAATCGATTTTAACTATGTAAAAGACAAAAGGAATCGATAACAAGATGGAAATGTTTTTCATTCAACGGAATTTTTTGACAGTTGTTAAAAAAATCAGACGTTTTTACAAACCATAATAATAGTTTTACTTTATTTTCTGACGAATCCTAGGGACCAAATTTCTGGTTTACTCGTATTTTGATTTCAATGAAAACATGAAACGTGAGGGTAAAATAGTCCATGCGTGCTTTTCAAGTGATGGGCAGTTTCGTCATTTCATCCGTCAGCAACGAAGTTTCTACGCGGTGTTCCTCCGTCGTAATCAAACATAATTCAACCCACAGCGTTGACTTGATATTCAAAGGCAAACCTCCGCCGGATCTTCAAAAAGATCCCAATTTTCTCCTTCAATTATCTAAAAATCTCAAAATAACACTACTCTTCTCCATCACTCAACCATTTTCAGGATAAACCCCCCATCGGAAAACCGATGGGTTGTGTATTTAGTACAGATTCCGGCAACAATGGAGTACACCCACCGGCAGGTTCGTCGTCTTCTTCCGGCACTCACTCGACATCAAAATTGATGCTCAGCCCAGATCTAAACTCTTACCAAGAAGCTTGCCGATCGGATCCGGATCTCCAATCTTTCGATTCGACTCTACAAGATCGAACCACTCGGGTCATTAATTCTCTCGCCGCCGGCGTCGAGGTTCGTTCCCTTTCCCTTGACTCCCTCCGTGAAGTCACCGGAAGTCTGCTCGATATGAATCAAGAAGTAGTCAAAGTTATACTCGAATGCAAAAAGGACATTTGGAAAAACGACGAATTGTTTTCGTTAGTTGAAGATTTCTTCGATCTCAGCATCTTAACGCTTGATTTCTGCATTTCCCTCGAGAATTGCTTGAAAAACGCTCGTCATAGCTCATCATTTCTTAAGATTGCGATCAATCAATTCGATGGAGATAACGATTACTTGAAAACCCTTGAACAATTCAAACGATTCGAAGCTTTAGAAGCTCCATTCTCAGAGGAATTTTTCGAGAACTTTCAATCTGTTTACAAACAACAGCTTTCAATGTTGAAGAAATTGCAAAAACAGAAGGGTAAAGTAGCGAAGAAATTGAAATCAACAAAGACTTGGAGGAAATTGACGAACGTCATATTCGTCATTACTTTCAGTACCGTTTTGATTTGTTCAGTGGTGGCTGCCGCCGTGGCTGCTCCGCCTGTAGTGGTGGCATTGGCGGCGGCAGCGGCGGTGCCGTTAGGATCCATGGGGAAGTGGGTTAATTCGTTATGGAAGAAATATGAAACGGAATTGAAAGGGCAAAGGGAGCTGATTAGTTCGATGCAGATTGGGAGCTCCATTGTTATTAAAGATTTGGTTAATATCAAAGCTTTAGTGGATAAACTGGGGATCGAGATGGAGGGTTTGCTGCAGAATGCAGAGTTCGCGATCAAGGAAGAAGAAGAAGAGGCGGTGGCAATGGCGGTGGATGAAATGAGGAAGAATGTGAATGATTTTGGGAAGACGATTGATGATTTGAGTGATCATGCGTTTAAAATTCGAGGGGATATAAGTAAAGCAAGAAAGATGATTGTGCAGAGGTTATCGAAGAACCCTAGTGATTCATATTAACTATATATATAATATGTAGCTATTTTAAAGCTAATTTGGTTCAGTTTTTCCATATTTTGTTGTTAAAAGTCTGTGAATTCACCAAAGAAATGTTGTTTCATTTATGGACTATGTTTTTATGGATTAAGCTCATGCACTTGTTTCTTGAATGCTACAAATTGGCAAACAATTCTAGATGCTTATTCGGGTAAACATTTATCAAGTATCATAATCTTACCCGATAAATGAGAGCGATGACTCTTATCATAGTAAGCGTTTACCGGGATAATTGTAGCATATGATACCGTTTTAATGACTTAAATCTTACCTAATAAGTAAACGATAGTGTTCAATGGTTATTATTAAGTAAGCACTCAAGTTAGGCCTAGCGAAATTGATTGAAGTGTAAGAAGTCATCTTTGCGAATGGATTGAAGTACTTTTAAAGCTCTATACAGTTTTCCTTGAAACAAGAATGAACTAATTATAGAATTCATGTAGGCCCTACAAACTAATTTCACGAATTTCTTAGTTTGCACAAATGGGCCCAACCCTAAAAGAAAAGGCTAAATGACAACTAAACTCTTGGTTTTTGGGTCATCTCCAAACACGGGCCAGATAAGCCCGGTTCAAGTCGTGGGCTAGCTTGTGAAAATCCTGTTTCTTTAACACAAAATCCGGTCCACAATTGCAAAAAAAAATTGTTTTTATTTTTTTGTTTTAGATTTCTTCTTTGTTTTATATTTTTTTTTTACCCTTTACTTAAAGAAAATTCTAATTTAAATTTTGTTTTATATATTTATTTATCTAATTAACGTAATTTAGTTTTGGATATTATCAACTTTTAGATATTTTGTCATACTATTTGATTGATTAAATTTTATAATATTGAGAATATATATTATTTAAATCTTATAAATTCATTTAAATAAATTATAAATCAATTGTTTTAAATAATATATAAAAAATATTATTAATATTAGTAATCGATAATATAAATTAATAAATGAAAAAGGTTGGGAAGATGTTCTGTGTCTGGGATTGATTAAGATTTTTTAATTCTTGAGATAAAATACATGTGTAAACGAGAGAATAATTTTTTTTTTGGTCAAAAAACATATTTTTAAGAGTATGTTTAATAGAGTTTTTTTTTATTTTTCTAAAATAAAGAAACACTCAAATTCTTTAAATAACATTAAGTATTGTAAAAAATATATAATAAAAATTCAAAAAGAATATGAAAAAGTTGAATTTTCAATATAGGACCGGTTTGGGCACGGTCCGGGACCCGTTACCCTAACCGGTACAAGTACACTTAACTGGGCCTTAATATTTTCAACGAGACGTTACATCGGGATTGGTCCAGATTGTTACTATTTCGGCCTGGGACCGATTTGGGACCGGCCCCGGACCGGTTTTTGGCTATATCTAATCCTCAGTCAGAAACCTATATAAAGATATTCATGATTTTATTTCATCAGTTTTTTCATTAGTGTTGACATTCAATTAGAAAGATTTGATATTACACTTTTCATCATAACTAGTCCTCTCACTTAAACCCAACTCATGTGTTACATATGTATATTTGTGTATGTATATATGTAAAAATACAGCCACAACATGTGGAATGATTTGGTATTTGACAAAGTCATCCTTTTCAGATATTAATTTTGTTGGTACATCAATGATTATGTTTAAACAGGAAATTGAAGAACATAACAGAAGAAAATGACGGAACGTTAGCTTAGAATAGGACTGGATTAAGTGCCTCAAAATGCAATTAATATGTTTATTCTAAGTTGTGAGATCCAATTTATACCAAAACTTTTGTTTGAAAAAAAAAATATCTAATGTATTAACCCCCCACCTCTCTTGTAACATATACGTGCACACATAACTGAATGTGTATACAAGTTGAACATATTGTGGACCATTTTTTAGAAATACTATTATATATAGTATGTAAAAAATTGTGAATATAGTATGAATCTATGAGATCTGGTGTATCTTGTTAGCACATTGTAAACATCCTCTAAATCTATCATTTGTATACACATTGTGAACATCCCGATAAAGAATTTCTTAAGGTTGTTTATATCGTGTTTATATCGTGTGCATATTTGATTGGGTGTTTGTGTGTGCATGTATGTTACGGAAAGAGCAAGAACGCAAGAGAGAGAGAGAGAGAGAGAGAGTTTTTGGAATTTGACTTTACTAAAAGAATGCATTAGGATTTATTTAACAACATTAATTATATCAAACTAGTGACTAAAACGAACTTTTATGAAGTTCACATAATTAGGTGTTATCTACCGATTCAATGTTAGGTCGGATTCAGAAACCAATATGCTTTGGTGAGGGTTTGTATACATTTTCCCAAATGGGATATATGATTTGTATGTTTTGAAAAGTATATTTTCATTTTATTTATTTACAATCGTTTAATTATGTTAACATGTTATCAGTACATTAAAGTATAACTATGTTATGCATAAAAATATGTCAAGACATCTAATGAGTATCAAAAACTTCATGATAAGGACGAATACATGCCCAAGAGTAGGGGTGCTCAAAAACCCGACCAACGCGATCAACCCTATCCGACGCGAAATAACTCAACCCGATGTCTAATCGAGTTGTAAAGTTTTCAAACCTAGATATTGGGTTACTAATATTTGAACCCAACCTAACCCGATGAAGACGATATCCTTTTATTTCTTAGATTTAATATGATTGTTGAAATTCTATTATATATAAACATAGACAATTACACTATCACGTACGTTCTTCATATACACATATTTTCAATCAATTCACATTTCTATATAATTCATTCGTATATATGTTCAGTAACTGTGAACATATATATGTAAATTGAGAAAATTAACTGAATATGATATACGTATGAAGTACAGATAAGTTGTATCAAATAATTGATGATGAAAAAGAAATTATGAGTAGAGAAATAACATATTCAAGGTTTAAAAAATATTTTAATGTACCAAAGTATCAACATGACCAACCCGTACGGTTTGGGTTGGGTTGAGTTGCACTTTGATTTGAGTTGGATTGGGTTGGATTGGGTTAAGATTTTCAAACCGCAAACATTAGATTGGGTTGTTCAAATGTCTTTAACCCGATCAACTCAACCCATAAACACCCATATCCAAGAAGCTGATATATACGTAATCAAACAAGTAGTAATATAAGCTCAACTTCTTTGGCTTTTGATATATATTGCCATAACAGATTTTATCTTTTAAATATTTCAATTAAAATATTCAATAATAATCATACAAAATCATAAATTAATACTTGAAATAAAATCATAATTACGAAAAAAAAATACAATAACAATATCATTTTTGACCTTTTAACTAAAATATGAATTTGTCTTTATATAAAATTAATCACAATATAAAGAATATATGTGGAAATCAGAGATAGAAATGCATCTGATGCCATGTTTCCAAATATGTTACAGATCAATGGTTGAAGATTTATATTTACATTTCTGAATCGTTTTCGATTCTCCCCATCAATCCCATACCAATTTCATTATGGTTTGTACAATTGTATGTAAATGAAACAGTAACGAATTGCTAATTTGAAGCAGTATTATCGTATTAATTATATAATCAGTAACAAGTTTGGTTTCTCAAAAGATTTGATAAACTAATTATACATGTGGTTTAACGTAAAATAAAATGGCAATGCAATAAACTAATATATTTTCTTGTTTATTATAGAATTTCATAACTACATAAAGTAACTTTTAGTGTGAAGCATCGAATGCAAAACAACATTTCATTCGCTTATTTCTTTCTGTCACATTCCTCCCCGATCCTCCCGTGCACACCAACTATCAAAAGGTTACAAGTACTCGATAGAATCATCAGTTGTCATTCGTTTTAGCTTGAAGTATACATATTGTTGGATCATCTATTGATTTGATGATGAGCCACTAATCTGTCTTACTATCCTATCAATATTTAGTAGTTATTGGTTTCTCTGTATATTGGTTTCTTGGTACATACTTAATTACACACCAAGACTCCAAATCAGTTGATTTGAAGACTGAAGATGTTTTGAAGCTACTAGCCGAATGAAGGAAGATCTCCATGCACTTAGATTTGTAAGAATCTGTTTGAAGCTACTAATCTATTCAAAGAAGATCTCCCTATAGATTGACCGTATCTCTGCAAAACTTATACCTGATAGAGACATTCTTTATCAGTAGGTTTGTCTCTACATAAACAAGTTGTATGCACGCAGAGTATGATGAAAATGATATATCAACTATGGTCAAGTTAACCCTTAGTGTTCTTGTGTATTTAATGCGTGAAAGTAGTATAATAGACATAGTGCATCTCTCATACAAACTACATTTCCCTGAAATAATTTATAAGTGCATTCTCAAGGCAGTCGGATTTTTTCTATTGCTCTCTTACTCTCATCTGGATGAAAAACTTAGTGTTCTTTATTTCATTGCAAGTACTCTTTTTGTTGTTCTTATAAGCTTTTATCCGTGAAAGCTTTATTTAGGTTAGGTTATCTTTTCTTTTTCCACAACAATTTGTATTGTATTTCTATGTGTTAATTCTTAATATTCATCAATAAGAATTAAAAAGTTGAAATTTTTTGAGTAATTGTATTCAACCCCTCATTCTACAATTACTTTCTTTTTATTGACATCTCACTCGAAAGCAACACATAAAGATGAAAGGCTAACAATAAGAAAAATAAATAATGAATGAGAAATAATAATGCATTTTAAATATGAGATTTTGATATTCTATTATCAGCTTCATGTTTCATAAAATTAAATTCAAAAAAACAATATAATTTTGGAAGGTTCCAAACAAGCATTTAATCTATTTTTTACGTCTTAAAGATAAAGAATTGGTTTCTAAGACTTGATTATTATTTTTCAAAACCGTTACAAAAAACATTCAACTTCGTAATAATGAGAATAGATTAAACTCATCAAATTATTTACAATTATTTAAATAATGAATATAAAAAATTATAACGCCTTTAGTAATAATGTGAATACGATAAACTCATTTAATTACTATTCAAATAGTTATGTGTCTACGCCCTGTATCTGAGAACTTGGCGTTTAGGTGCATGCGCATGTCTCCGGTCTTCTTGTCGTTTGTATCCGAGTACCCGTGCTCTACGTCCGAGTGTGCGAGCTCTGTGTCCGAGCACCCGAGCTCGGGTCGTTCAGAGAGCCTCTGGGTGCTCTTCCAGACTTAGTCATTTTAGCTCAGCAGATCTCTGAATTTTCATTCTTTATCCCGAATTGCTTTAATAAAATTTTTAGATTAATCAGGACCAATTTTGGTCCTAACACTTTCTTTATATTATAAGGAAACTAGAAGGGTACTTGTGTAATACAACGAGATACATCTCAATATCATAAAAATTTTAAACAAAATATCAATATTAATATCAAATTAACAGTCTAAAAGTTATTGTTTTTTGTGTAACTTCTTTAGTTTACTTTTTTTTATTAGAATTTAATTTAAGTTTAATAACAAACTAATTTATTTTTGTTTAATAATATAACTTTTTATAAATATAATAATTGAATATTTTGTTACAATTTAATGATTATTCTAATTATTATTATTTTTAATTTAAAATTGAGATGTTTATCCTTAATTTGATTATGTATATCTGTAGTTGCACGAATTCAAACATGGACTTTCTTACGCACAATTTACTTATAATTTTGAATTTCAAGTAATATGTATCAATAAGCAGTACTTCAAGCATAAAAAATGGTTTTCAAGAGTTTTTGTTAAATGCTTTATAATATAGTATAGATAGATTAGATATTTAAAATGAGATGTTTATCTGTTATTACACGAATTCAAACATGGAGTTTTAATAAGCTGTATTTACGCACAATTTACTTGTAATCTTAAATTTTAAGTAATATGCATCAGTTATCAGTACTTCGTGTATAAAAATGGTTTTTAAAAATTTCTATCAAATGATTTATAATATTGTACAGATAATTAAAATAGACATTTTTTGGCTTGTGGTTTCACATCTTAGTCATTTCTCTCCTAAAATCATCAAAATAGTCACTACCTCCGCATGTGGCAGCCCGAAATTTACGAAGGGGTCAAAGTGTAAAAAAAAGAAGTATTTGAGCCAGATCCGCAAACGCAGAGATCAAATATGTAAAATGGATATAGGAAGTGCCACTTGCGAATAGGGGTGTAAATGATACGAGTTTTTAACGAGCTACTTGAGTTCGAGCTCGTCTATCTCGAGCTCAACCTTAATAATTCTTGAGCTCAAGTCGATCGTCAACACAAAAAAAACTCGTTTAGCTTAACAAGTCGAGCCTTATAACTCTAAGATTCGACTCGACTCCGTCGAAAACTCGATTCAATTTCTCGAGTCGAGACAAACATACTCATATATTTATTAACCATACAATAAAAATATAAAAATCATCGAGCTCGAGCAGATAAACTAGTTAATCGATCACGAGTTCAAACCCATAAATGAGCATCGAGCTCGACCTCGATAATTCAAAAAATATTCGAGCTCGAGCCCTATATTGAAAAAGTTAATCGAGCTTGAACCTAATATTAACTTTTCAAGCCCAGCTCGATTAACTTACTACTCGGTTCGATTCGACTCGTTTACACCTCTACTTGCAGATGTGTTGGAACTAATTTATAGATTTGGTCCTTACACTTGCGGACCTGTTTCAAAAACTTTTTATTTTATATTTTAATAATTTTAGAAGAAAAACGGCTAAGAGACAAAACCAATATCTAAAAATGACTATTTTAATTAATTTGTCAGTAATAACAAATTAATAAAAATAAAATAATAAAAAAGTTGGGGGTTTGATGAAAATATGCAATAAATGTGAGAGGTTGTATCCAGAGCAGATTTTACTATCTCGAGGTCTCATCTTCAATTCCACATCACCAAACCTCCCCAAAGTGGCAAAGTCCAAAGCCAAACACGTTTGTCTTTCCCTTCTATGCTCCCTAAATTACATTTTTGTCCCTCTGGTTTGTTAAAAATGTGACTTTTAACCCTATAGTTTTGAAGTTTTAGTTTTAGTCCTTATGGTTTGTAATTAATAGGTATTTTTGAAGACTAAGGGGCCGTTTACCTAAACACTTACCCGGTAAGCGCTTACTGCTAAAATCGAATACTATCGTTTACTTACCGAGTAAGATTTGAGTCTACCAAAACGACATTGTATGTAATAGTTTATGCAGTAAGCGCTAACCGTGGTAAGAGTCATCGTCATCACTTACCGAGTAAGACTCTTGGTCCTTGATTTTTCTCTTACCGGGTAAGATTCTTGATTCTTGTCATATTCATCAGGTAAGATAATGTGACTTGGTAAGTGCTTACCCATGTAAGCATTTGGTAAACGACCCCTAAGAGACTGTTTTTTTTTTCAAAATTTTCTTTTAATACCTCTGAAGCCTGACTCGTTCAGACGTTTTTGTTTTTTATTTATAAATAAGAGTTTAAAAGCTCTAAATGTCCATTGAAATTTAAGTGCTAAACATGTCATTTAATACCTCTTAATCTTAATCCGACCTCTATCAAATGGTTCAAATTTTGGGAATTAAAATAGATTTGTTAGCAAAAACTATTTATCTTTTATACCTTTGTAAAAAACTATTTATGTTTTATATTTTTACACTAGTTTAACCGATTCAGATTTTAGACTTCAACAACACCTCTTATAAATCAGAATTCAGACTTTGGTACCTTTTAAAAAACAAACGTCACATAACTCTCATTTTTAAGTATGAGGAACGAAAATGGAAATGAACTATAAATCACAAGTACTAAAACTAAAATAAATTGTAAATTATAATAATGGAAACAATATGAATTCTGAGGGATAGAAATAAAAATTTGAAAAATACTATGACAAAAATAGCAATTTTAACAAATTATACGGACTAAAAATGTAATTTACTCTTTTTCTTTTCTTCTAGTTGTTTGGCATGGTTCACTCTCTCTTCCTCCCATTAACTTGAACCGAATTTATGGTCCAATTTATACAACAAAAACAAACCCAACCGATCACCGACCATTTTCACATCCGGGTCCGGATCCTGGTTCGGGTTCAACATATTCACAAAACTAAAATAACTATAATTATAAACTAATTTTATGAGTTTGGTTCTGATGAGAATGAAAGTTATGCTGATCACAATAAAAAATGTAAGAAATTATTTTCACCCTTAAATAAATTCTATTTAAAAATCAACACTAATACGATGCATCAAAATGTACTGGATCAATTCCCGTGATAACAACAACGCATGGGTGTGGGTGAGATTAAGATCAAAGATCCAGATTTCATATTAAGCTTTTCAGTTTAACTTCTATTCTAACACGATACTTCGTCATAAATTTATAGCATCTTCAACAGTTTATATAAAATATGTAAGTAAACGTACTATTCTTTATTTTGCTGTAATAAATTCTTTACTTCGTTCTAAAATAAAATTCCAAATTTAAATAATTCTCTAAAAGTTTACGTCAGAAGAGAAATAATTTTTTATTCATTCACACTAATAAAATCAAATTACTATTATTTCAAATAATTTTTTTGAAAAACTTTATTCAATTAAAAATCATAGGATATTTCAGTAATATAATTAATGTTGAAATCTGAAAAATAAAAAATCTGTTAAAGTTAAATATAATTTTTTTAAGATTTTATTTTTTAATTATTTATATAAAAAATAGAAAATTTGTTGAATATGATTATATACCAATTTATACAACAAATTAAACCCAACCATCCATCACCTATTTGTTATTATAATTTATTTATTAATTTATAAAAAAATCTCCGATAGATTATTTATAACTTTTTTTAAATAGAGAACCAAAAAATAGAATTTCTATAAAAAATTATATTCAACTCCAGTAAATTTTATATAACTTATCTAAAATAAAGAATCAAACGTAGGAATTTTTATAAAAAAATATATTCAATTCTAACGTGTATTTTTTTTTTCAGTTTTTTCTAAAATAAAAAAATAAGCGTTAGAATCTCTATAAAAAATTATATCCAATTTCAATAAATCGTTTAAAATTTTCTTAAAATAAAAAAACATATATTATAATCTCTATCAAAATTATATTTAACTGTAACGGCTTTTTTAATTCATAAATTTTAAAATCAATTATATTATCACAATATTTTATAATTTATATCAAGTTTACAGATTTTTTTATTTATTTTTAAGATAAAAATGCTGAAAAAATGTTGGAACAAAACTAGAAAATATGATATTTATTATTTAAAATATCTACTGGAAATAATTTTAACTGTAGATACGCCATTTGGCAACTGAAATCAATCAGACGGTGCCAATTTACACGTGTACGTAGATCAAGGCAGTCATGTGACCCCTCACGAGTGATTTTCTGGTGAAGGTAGTTGTGCCAAGTTTTAGCCAGAAAAAAAGAAATAAAAGACATACTTTTGACGTCATAAATATGAGAAAAAGTTTATTATAAAAGTAAACTACAAATTTAGTCCCTGTGGTTTGTTAAAAATAACAATTTTTCATCTCTACAGTTTTGAAATTACAAAATGACCATCACGATTTGCAAAAGGATGCAAATTTGATCCCTTCCTCTAACAACGTCTTCATCCTTTTTATCAAGTTCTTTTTTATCTTTTTTCAATCATAATTGATTTTATGATTTTGGTTTATGTAATTTTTTATTAGATAAAAGATTGACAAAAAGACAAAAATGCCCCACACTTGGGGCATTTCTTTAACTATCATTAGAAGAAGGGACCAAATCTGGTCATTTTTGCAAACAACGATGATTATTTTGTAATTTTAAAATAAAAGAGACCAAAAATGTTACTTTTGACAAACCAAAGGGATCGAATTTATAATTTACTGTTTTAAAGATAAATGAAATGAAAGTTTGACTTTTTTAGGGCTTTAATTAATTAATTAAAAGAAAAGAGGATTAAGATGGTGATGCAATAATCATTAGTCACTAATCACGTTTAATGGCAGCTATAAATAGAACTCAACAACTTCAAATTCATGGGTACCCAAACAAAGAATACAAACACAAGTCATCAATGGCGTTCAAGCAAAATTTGGTGCAAAAATTGTTCAAAATCTGTAGTAACAAATCCTCAAATCAAACGTTAAGGACTTGCCGCATTTCTTCATCGTCATCTTCCACAGTTCAATCTCTGATGCCACCGAATCTCGACGGAGTAGCACCTGATCCCGGAGAAGACTCCATCTTCCGGCGGTTTCTGCAGCGGCGGCCGTTGTATCTGTCAGCTTCCGCCACCTTGCCGGAGATCTTCCGTCCTGGCGGTGAGAAGTTGTTGGAGACGCTCAGGGAGATCGACATTGCCAGAAACCGAGTGCGACTTAACGGACTTATCGGCACTCGGAGTTCGTCGAAGACGGAGAACCAGCAGTTGACGGTGGCTGACGCTAAGAAGATCCTTCGAGCGTCGCAAATCGCAACGGTGAAATCAAAGTTGAAAAGTAGTTGGAAAAATCATGTCTCGTACGATGAATTCATTCAGATGTGCATAGATGGATGTTCTAACAGAGATCAAGGCGTGGATCTCGCAAAAGCTCTCGATGATTCCGGTTCCGTCATCGTGTTAGGAAACGTCGTTTTCCTTAAACCTGAACAGGTACGTTAAATCGGTGATAATTTCGTAAATTTCATCAAAAAATTCGACGAATTCATCAAAACTCAATAAGATCCCAAATTAAGCTGATGATTTTTTGTAATTGCAGGTAGTGGAAGCCATTAACGGACTGATGATCGGAGATGATGAACAAATAACGGAACTGGAAGAGATGGAGCGGTGGAAATCGGCGATCGACGAGAAGGCAGAGAAGGCGGTCCGGCGAGAGCTTTGGGGCGGATTAGGGTATCTGGTGGTGCAAACGGCGGCGTTTATGAGGTTAACATTTTGGGAGCTTTCATGGGATGTAATGGAACCGATTTGCTTCTATGTGACGTCAGCATATTTCATGGTTGGATTTGCATTTTTCATAAGAACATCAAAAGAACCTTCATTTGAAGGGTTTTTTGAGAGCAGGTTTCGTGTGAAACAGATGAAGATGATGAAGACGGAAGGTTTTGATGAAGAAAAATACAAAAGGATGAAGAAAGCTTGTGGGTTTCATGGCCATGGCGGATTGAAAGATTCTCAAGAATCTTTGATTTCATGATAATGAAATTGTATATAATTTCAAGAAACACAATTTTGTTTTTAACATAAAACCCTTTTTTAAGAAGTGGGTTTGATCGTAAATTGATAAATTAATTAGAGTTGGATCATGTTTTTCTTTTGGTTTTTTATTTGTTTGATTAATTCACCGTTTAAAACATTTAATCGTTTTTTGATATTACTTACATTGAGTATGACAAGAATTAAGAATCTTACTTTACAAGAAACTTATGGGTCGAACGCTTATCCGGATAAATGCTTACCGACACCATTCTACAATATAAAAGAGAACTACAAGAAGTCTAGAACCTTACTAATAACAAAATCCATTTTTTCTTGTCTTTTTTTTTACTTACTTACTGGGTAAAATTTAATCTATCAAAACGATATCGCATGCAACAATATACCCGGGAGTAACATATGTAATTTTAAATGACGTGAAATGATACGTAACAGTGAGGTCAAACCATGATGAAGTCATGACGTTTTTTATAGCGTGACTTATACCGACAAATCAACATATCAAATATATATGCAAATATGTGTTCTCCTACAACTCAACAAATTAAAAACGTTAAACAATTTAAATTAAGGGGCTGTTTATCAAATTTTTTATTAAGTCATGTATGGATAAATTTGTTTGTCTGAATAAATGGACGTTGTTGTTTACTATTTTTATCTGAACCAATAGTCTGAATAACATAAATGACCGATTTACATCTCCAATATTAAATACTTGAACATCAAAACAAAAAATCATAAAGAGGTTGACGATAGGGTGTCTCATATCTCATTTGGGAAGGAGCTAATGCTTTAAATAAGAAGTAGGAGTGTCATTTTTTGTGGCTGAACGAGGACAATACACCATTTTTATATGTGCGATTAAACCATGTTCTATGCAAATAAGTCGTAAGTAAACAACCCAAATGAGTTGTGCGAATAACCTAAATAGACTAATAAACATAATTAAACCGCCAGTAAACAACCCCTAAGCTATATATATATACTAAAAGCTAAAAGCAAAATAATGAAAAAGTAAGAAATCTAATATAACATTAGTGATAACTTATCACAAACTTAAAGTCTAATAAACGTTACAAAATTATAACACTTGATCTTTAAATTCCATATAAATGGAATAAAAACATTCCCCAAACGGATAGATTTTTTTTGTACTTTGGGTTATAAATCGTTTTATTGTTATTGTTATTGTTAATATTTAATTTTTGAAATAAATAAATGTCAGTAACAGTAGCAGGCTGACAATTTAACTTTACTCCTTAAATGAAATATATTTCCATGTACACGTGTTGGATTATTGGATATAAATTCGCATTTCGAACAAATAAATATACCCAATCCAACTTGTCGCCACGTCACCCTGCCATCTCCCTTTTTGTCTCCATCTTATTGTTTCTCTTTTAACGTTTCTCAAAATTGAAATTTGAAAATACTGAGTTTATACAATGTTATGGTATACATGAAACGTTTAAAACAGTTTTTTATAAATAAAACAGTTCTAAACGTCTCACATGTGAAACAACACTGTATTTTTCATCTTTATAGTTTTTTATATGAAACAAAATATGAAAGCAGTTAATGAGTTTTTATTGAGTTTATAAATGAATAGATGATTGTGTCTCTTCTTCGATACCCCCTTGAAGTTGTAAGAAATTCGTCAAAACGCAAATCAAATTTTATAGTATATTGAAGATTGCAATCAGTCGTTTGTTAATGTGGTGTTTTTTAGTTTAAATGATGGTTTATCGGGTACGTCATCGAAAAATTTCAAACAGATTATATTGTAGACTTCATATTCTTTTTAATTCTTTCACGTATTGAACAGTGTTGAATTCAACCAACTGTAATGAGAAGAAATTGGTTTGAAAACAAAAAGAAATTGTGGTATCGTCTCAAAGATGTTTACGATGTCGTTCCGTTTAAAGATTTTCAATCGAACTGAACATTGCATTGGGATACGAAAAACAACTTTTAATTTTTCGGAATATGCTTTCTGTTTTTACTATTTGTACTACTATTTTATTAAGTTACATCACATACGTCCATCGACTTCAATAAATAAATTGAAACACGTAAGACTCAACAATATTTCTATTTTAAGCAATATTTGAACACAAAACAATTTATTAGCCTAATCGTCTGGGTGAACAGATCATTGCACGTAATAATCCAACACAGTTCCGATCCTACAAGGTTCGTATCTAATCATGATAGTCGATGACATGTCACAATTATGTGTTCAATACGAAAATACAGATATGTATTATTCTCTTTCTATTATTATGTTGTGATGTATTTCCATTTAAAATTACGATAATTTAAATGATTTGTTCAAGAAAAAAACGGCAAGTTTGGATTATATAATTGGTGTCAAGAAAATCGAATCCCCACATCCTTCCCTACGTAATGAAAACAAATCAAAATCCAGACAACGACTTTCTCCCCCTCCCTTCACCAGTGCCTTCCAACCACCGTCCATTAATTTCCTAAAATAACAACTCGGTTTTAGAAAAAAAAAAACTATTCTCTTACTATAAATTTTCAAACTTGATATGTTTAATAGAAAAACGACTTTCTAATACAATGGCAAACTTTTAAAACATGACCACTTAAGAAAAGCAGTAAATAAAAAACCGACATAACTAATTCGAGGGCAAACTCTACTAACAGATAAATCATAAATTGACAGTTTGTGAGATTTTTTTTACTGTTTAATGCCTTATATAATCGGCTTATGTAATAAGTATAAATATATAAAATTAAACCGATGGGCTGTTTGACAATCGTTGAATGATTCAATATAAGATTATTACGTGGTCAGAATGATTAAGAGTCTCTTATGATACAATAAAATATGGTTGCTTGATGATTGTTCCGAATGAAATTAGAGCGTTGAATGGTTCACGGAAGCCCAAAATACAAAACCATTTAGAGTGTTTTACAACCATTAAGTGACATATATTTTTACCAAACAAGATTCACTTTTTAATGATTCAGATACTGTCTATTAATACAACTATTAAGAGATAAACAAACAACCACTGATTCGAATATTTACGGTTACGGTTAATAAAATGGTTTTGTTTAAGAAAAATCCTTGTCAATGCTACGCATGAAACTATCCACAACCCATATATAAATTTAAACACGTGTTATTGTGTATACGCGGAAACTTGTGTTGATTATTAAAAAAAAGTTTGGTCGTAAACGAAGGAATAGATGATATGGATGCCACTCTAGATGACCATTCAGTGCACCAAGATTGGTCAAATCAGGACCCTCCACTTGAATCTTGATCCATCTTCTATATTGTTTTAATTATTAAACACGTGTATTACCAATTAATTATCAAAAAACATTATTTAATAAAAAAAAATGATATTGCGTATCAAAATACGTACCCATTTAAACCATTTCTAAGATGATTATGTGTTTATAACATATATGTTTGAATTTTATAAAATACAGTATTTAATTCTTTTGTTAATCAATCATTGAGTCAGCTTTGAAATGTTTTTTCACATGTAGTTTATAGAGGATTTGTCAGGTTGTCGATAATCAACTTTTTGCACAAATATATAAGATAATTACATTTTGATATTGATTTATGTTGAGAGAAAAAAGACAGTTATATATACAGTTAACAGTGTACATATAAAACATACATTTTATGATATTCATTGACGTATATGATAGACAAGGTCGTAGAATTTTATACAGTGGAATTATTTGAATGTATTGTGTTGGAACAATTTCTAAAATGAGATGATTATTGGTTGGATTTCGTTGACAAATGAAACTTTTTATAATAATTTATCAGTTATTAGTTGTTGAAAAGCTTATCTCGTGTTAATGCATAGTTATGGCTGCTTTCAATTACGTTTATTTTTTTCATTTGCTTGAAAACCATACCATAAAAGTAGAATTACATAATTTGCATACTGAAATGTTTGTACTGATCTATGAAATGGTATTTGAAGTAAGATATTCAAGATCAGTATCATTTTTTATACAAAAAACGATAAAATATGATCACGACTCGCGCCACATGTAACGATACGATAACAACAGTTCTCCGGTACAGTATGCCCTCGACATCCCGAGTTTGTATATCCCTAAAGGTAACGACAAAACATTTTCATGCAAGAATGGTAGTTTTCAGCTATGCGTCTTTCATATAAATCTATAAATGAATTTTATGTAATGTCGTGGGGTTTCAAGAGCAACCGTAATTACGTTCTCTCAAAAAAATATGTTATGGGAGAGGGGATGTTGTGTTTGGCAAAAAAACGTGTTTTGTTCTTCAAAGTATACAATACAAGCACACATAAAACGGTTCGTAAAAGAGTAAAAAGAGTGATTCGACGTGACATTTAGGGGTTCATTAAATGTGTGGATCAATTCACACATAGTAAAATCAGTTATTAATGAAAACTATCAAAGAATTTACACTGGGTGGTTTCAGTTATCTTTTAAATGTCTTTGAGTCTGCTTTTTGGACGAAAGTAAATTCCTGATAAAAAGGAAGCTAAAAAGTGTCTTCGCTTATAAATACCAAAGTCAACCATTCATTTAAATTGGAAAATTAAGCCCACAAGTTCGAATTCTTTAGTACGAACGTCTTGGAATTTTTTGGCCAACTTTAATTTTGTATTGAATAAAAACGTTTTTCACACAAGCAATCATCAATTCCAATGCTACTTTTTCAGATACATGTATGGTTCACATTAACCGTAAGGCGGTAATGAGATTATGACGTTGAACGTAATGAATGAAATTGACGATTTTCAAAAGAAATATTCAATGTTTTTCAAGTTCACATGCACTCTCGTATTTGGAATATTCTAATAGAAAGTTTTATCAACTTCTAAGAATTCCGTAAAAGATTCATCGAAGATAACCATTTTGATCAGAAGTATTTACCGTTTGATAAAATGCAACGAATTAAAAGTGCATATTGCATAGTTTGCTCGTCTCATATTGAATCGACGAGTTGCATGGCGACATGCTTCTAAACTTACTTTTTGTGAACTCGTGTTGGGGAACGCTTTTCAATATGTTCTCCTA